AAAAAAAAAAACACCAATAGGTAAGGAAGGTAATCCACCCTCGGTGGCCGATCGCCCCCAGGTGCATGTGCGGGTGCTGGCTGATGCACTGGGCAGTGCTACTGGTGCAGGTGCGGAGGTACGTTTGTATCCAAATGGACGTCGCCATCCACTAGCCTGTCTTGACGGGCCAAGTCTCACAGCGCTCTGTTTGAGCGTGCCTAAGGGGGTTCCCTTTGCCCTTTCTCCATTCATCTACTGCTGTCCCAAATTCATCGGACACATACCGTATATGGGTCCCTTATCTTTGCGTCTGCCTCCGATGTATTCTGGTTCCCGCGTGCTGTTTTGGGCCGGTATGGAGGTTTTGTGGTGTCTTGTCCCGTTACAATCTCATGTGTGTGTTTCCCACATCGAAACATGGCGACGTCATCGATCAGTTGCAGCCGTGTGTGCGTCTGCCGACCAGGTAGGTCCTGCTCCTTTTTTTTCCCCCACCTTCGTAAATTACCCTGCTTGATTATTTTGAACGGGACACTACTACTGCGCCTGCAGGGAAGAGATACGTGGACGGGACCCAGACTTGCCAAACCAGGACTTGGGTCAAAGTAGACGTGGGACTAGACCCGGACCCGGACCTGGACATGCTCTGGCATTGGCGCCTGCAGCTCGCTCTGCGCCTGCACGTTCGTTTCCCTCTCGCTCCCGTCCCGTTCAGTCTCAATTACCTTGGATGGCGGAATCGATTGACCTTCCATGCTTCCTTCACCTTGGCCTCGACCTTGGCCCTGATTCTTCATCCCTTCTCCATCCTACCACTTGCGCTTTGCCCATCTCCGAAACTTATCCGGTCTTTACCTCGTCCAGTGTCTTCGCGAACCTGGACCTTGCCCTTCTTCTGGGTGGGCGTACATGCGGCTTCCCTGCACATCAATTCGATTCCTGTCCTCCCACTTTACCTGTCAATCCCTCTATTTTGATTCGACTGCTTCACTCGTACATCCTGCCTTCACCTTCCGACCGACACCTCTTCATCTTACTTTACTTACGACTGCAGACGTCCATGTCGCCCGCTGATCAGTGACCCGACCCGACCCTACGCCCCTTCCTCCTCCCTCCTCCATCCGGGCTCGTTTTCCACCCCTTGACGCCAGATTCCAGCTAGGCCAGAGCTCGATCCTACACTTCTCGCGCACCATAACCTCCGTACCTGCGCCCGGATCCGTTTGCATCTTGTTCCCTCTTCTGCCACGCATGTCAAACGCCTCTCGTTAAATCGCTCTTCCGCGGTCGAAATTCCTTCTTCCTCGGAGGGCAGCTGTTGCCCTCACCATGGCCCCGTCAATCCTCAATTTCAGAGCTCTGCGTCGTCGTTCTAAGGCCAGCTTCAAAACAGACCGATCCAACACAGACGTTTCCAGTGATGCTAGCCAAGGAAATACCCCGACACCCACGAGCGGCGCCTCAACGCCACCATCACTCGCCCATGCCTCCGATCCCGCTTTGAATCTTCAAGTGAAGGACTCCAATCAACCTCTCCCTCGCCCTCCGCTACAGCCCGTCAGCAACTCACACAGAAACAGCGTTTCCGGTATGGCGGGCTTGGGCTCTCCCGTGGTCACGGGCAAGTCCACCTTGCCTGTCTCCCAATACGCGCCCCGGATCGCCAATGTCGCCGAAAATGCCTGGGTAAGTAATTTGATACCCTTCTGAGGGGCGTGCCCGTGCAACCTGCATCCCCCGAGTCCATGTCCGGATGGCGTCCCCGATCAGACCAGCTCGCCACAGGCGGTCGTACTGCTGTCAACCTCTTAGCTGCATTTCCAGCTTCAGAACGCTCTGCTGACAACAGGCAAGGTTTATCAAAAGGTGCTTCTCGTCCACGGCACTATTGGCGAGCCCTCACAGCAACCTGTGGACGGCACCCTCTCCATAACGCGACTCGACGACAACTTCCCGCCAACATTTTGGCCCGTGTGCGACTCTCAGTTTAAGGCGCTGGTTTACCTGCAGCCAGGACCCAACAAGATCCGATTCGACTTCTCCAGTCCAAAACTACCCAACAGCAGCTCTTCAAACCCCATACATGCATCATACCTCACAATCCATATGCTTCCAGCCAACAGTGCACCGCCCTTACAGCTCGCAATTCTCGTCGCCAAGGATTCTGCTGAAGTTTTCGATGCGGTTCCCGCTCGAATCGAGCGCGAGGGCAACGAATTGGATACGGCAGTGCGCAAATTCCGCATGGCCGCATACCTTTGGCAGGCTTTCACCGCTGAGCAGATGTGGCGCAATAAGCTTGGGCGTCGTGTCTTCAGGTTTGAGGAGGAATGGGTTACTGGTACCTCGAATCAACGGGATCGTGAAAACGGAACGCTGCGCTCGGAAGCGAGGGTCCACATCATCAGGTCGGATAAGACTGTCGCAGAAATTCGAGACTTGGAGCTGGCGCAGCAGAACGAAAAGGCGACCAAGAAAGGAGACTTGTACGGAATCGCTGCCGAAGCCGTGAAGCAACATTTCAAACCACTAGGCGGTCAGAAGCAGTACGTTTCCCTGCTGATTCTTGATACGCAGTGGGATAAGGAAGCCAACGTGGTCAGGGGACACGCGGCGCTCGGCGGAAACGCTGGTGATCTACAACTGGCTATTTTTGGCTCGCATTGCCTGCAGAGTTACCCCGCGAGTTTTGAAGAAGTAGTTCCCGCGTTCACGGACTGCACTCCGACTGACGTGGACTTTGTTGCCAATGATTGCGGTCAAGCCGGTAGTTCCTGGGAGGCGGCCAGCATCGGAATTGGCGCGCATTTACACGAGACGGGCCATCTCTTCGGGTGTCCTCATCAGGAAAGTGGCGTCATGCTGCGCGACTACTTGACGCTCAACCGCAGCTTCGTAGCTCGCGAGGCCTTTTGCACCAGAACGAAGTCCAAGGGTGGTTTGGTCGGTCAAGAAGACGAATGCGGTTGGCATCGATTGGATTGCTTGCGCTTCCGCGCCCATCCGTGCTTCAGGTTGCCCAACGACCCCCATATGAACCCGGATGATAGCGTACATGCCTTCCCTATCGAGAGCGGGAAGATGGTTGTCATGGCGCCGACTGGCGTAGCTTTCATAGAGCTATTTGCTGAAGACGATGACGTTTGTCGGTCTTGGATCGAGTACCCAGCTGAGACTGGCTCTGTGCAACGCCAATTGACGCTGAGCGATCAGGAGCTGCGGGAGAGGCTCCCAGAAAGCAAGCGGAAAGGGCGGCTCAGAATTTCGGTCAAATCCCATGGAGGCGGCGGCTTGGACATTGACGACCTCAAGAAGCTATGCTCCAAGGAGTCGTCCTTCAAGCTGACTCCTGGTCCCCTTGGCAAAACGGCTTACCGAGGAAAGGCTTTAGGGCTCTCATCCATGCAGGAAAGCGTCGCGCAAGAAGTTGTGTTTGAGAGCGCCGTTAAACAAAACAGGATCCTATCTCGCATTATATTCTACCATGGATACGCGGTTGACGGTATAGAATTCATGTATGACGATGATACCACCCAGCTTTTTGGCAAGAGAGGGGGCAAAGAAGGCGGCGATACCTTCGACTTGGGTAAGCTGATACCCCTCGTTTCAACCAGTCTCAGCCTTTTTTCTTCCGAAACATGAACTGACTTGTGACGCGACAGACATCCGTCGAGGCGAATACATTTCAGGCTTCTTCGTTCGTTCGGGTCACTGGATTGATGCCATCCAAGTGCTTACCAGCCTGGGTCGAAGATCGCCCGTATTTGGCAATGCGCATGGGGGGTCAGGGTAAGTCGTGACATGAGCAACTTCACCGTCGACAGTGGTTGACCGAATGACCAGACATACTTTGATACCTCCAAGGGGATACACCATCTGCGGCGTAGCTGGCTCGTGCGGCCCTTGGGTTGATGGATTTTCGATTCTCATCGTTCGATGAGGGTCAAAAATCTGTCTCAGGAAGGTTAATAGTAATGCATAAGAGGCAAGAGGGGGGCATAAGCTAGGACGCCGTCATCTACCTGAAGAAATTCCAGGCGCCGACGTGTCACTTGCTATGCTTGCGCCTTTTATACCGTTATTCTGGAGTAATACATCGAACCAGAGCATTGTTTTGTATTATTTGGGCATCAAACACCAGGGGCTTGAGGATCAGGATACATATCTAGCACATGCAGCGCACTGAACATGGTGGGAGATTCAGTACAGCGGTAAATTTGTACTAATTACACCACGACAATTGGGTTTACAATGGAGTGGAGGTGCTCTATTCTGCCTCTGTAAGAGTATCCACAGATATGAACGACGCCGGAGAACACTGTCCATATTCAGTGGCGTCGGTACTGCTAATTCGCCCGGGCTTATTTTATAAAAATGAGTGGTGGGTATGGCCTCACAGGCGAGTCTTAAGTAGCTGAGTACTTCTGCAAGATCGGCTCCATCCAAATAAAAGAAAGAAGAAAAACATATCAAGGAAACCCTGGTAACAAAGAATGGGCATGATCTTACTCTAGATGGAGCCTCGAAATCCAGACCAGACTACGTGATCAAACGGTAGAACCAGTACAGAAGAGACCGCCTGTTCCTCCTGTGCTTAGGCGGTTACTTTTCCCGTAGTCACATCTCTACGTTACTGTCGTCGTTGTCGCTACACAGGAAAAATAGGCTGTCTCATGGAGAAGGCGGGCGAATATCCTTCTGGCCCTACATCAACCTCGACTGATGTCAGCTACTAAGTGAGGCAGACCGTTTGGCTGGGCTCCGGTAAGGCGGATGCCCCGCTTTGTGGACAGTGTTGAACACATGCTCAATACAGAGTAACAACCCCCAAAACATGTCGGTCACGTGCACCAGCCAAAGCTACCGCTAGGCTCTTTCAAGTCTAGAACGGACAGGGCTATGACGGCATGTGCTTCTCCCGGCTATCATTGTTGGCTTTCTGAGGCGGAAGAGTGTGACCTGCTCGTACAGACACGCATCCCTACTCGCAGCTGCTTCGCTCTACACCAGCACCCGCATTGAGCTCAACGAAAACCTCACATACATAAAGGCTGTTCCCCCTCGTTTCCCATTATCGTTCCTTTTCGGTCTCTTGCAACCACCAACGGAGCCATATCTTAACCACCGCTGAGACGAGACAGAAAAAAACTGCCACACAAGCAGCAGCTTCGTCGCCCCTCACATCTTTGCCAGGCCCACAATCATCATACCTACTGCTGAAGCATACACCTCATCATGTCAAAGCGAACAAGTAGCGCCGTGACGAACGGGAGCGTAGCCAAGGATGCCGACAGCTTCAACGAGCCGGGTGCGTCACCGCCCACTTCAGAGCATTCGGTGCATATTCCAGACCGAGAAGCTGACCAGAACCTTACCGACAGCATACGACAAGCAGAAACTCCTCCTATCCGCCGACACGGGCCATTTCTCCTTGATTCGAGCACTTCACCTTGCGGATGTCATTACACTGTGCAATGGTGCGTGCACATACTCCTCCCTCTGACAGAAAACACGTCCTTTCTCTGCTTGTACCCCGCGTTGTACGTGTCGAGGATACTGCCAGAGAAGAGAGCTGACGCCTTGCCTATCTAGGTGCCTGCGGCGTTATGTCGATTTTCACCTCCCTCCGTTACTGTCTCGGCGATCCCGCATCTACTAGCACTCTGTATCTCGCCCTTTTCTTCCTGCCGTTCGGGTTATTCTTTGATTTCATGGATGGAAAGGTTGCGCGATGGAGAAAGAAGAGCAGTATGATGGGTCAGGAGCTTGATTCGCTGGCTGATTTGGTATGTATCTGGACAACAAGTCACTTGAACCTGTTGACTACTTTAACCCATTTGAGGGTAGTATGATCAAGCTAACTTTCCAAGATATCATTTGGCGTGGCTCCCGCCTCCGTGGCCTTCGCACTCGGCCTGCGTACCGTTGTGGACCATGCTTGCCTCACCTTCTTCGTTCTCTGCGGTCTCACTCGCCTTGCTCGCTTTAATGTCACTGTCTCGGTCCTCCCCAAGGATGCTACCGGCAAGAGCAAGTATTTTGAGGGTACGCCGATCCCCACGAGCCTGGGCCTAGACGCAGTCATGGCCTACTTCATCTCACAGCGATGGATACTGGGGGATTTGCCCTTGGGAACGTGGTTCGCTGGTTCAGCGCTTGAATTTCACCCAATTGCCCTCGTGTTCGTCCTGCACGGATGCATGATGACAAGCAAGAGCATTCACATTCCGAAGCCTTAAACCACGCCATTCGACAAGGAGTTGATGAGCAACTTAGACGTGGTAGGACAAACCAAATCGTGACTGTGGGGGCTTGGCTTCCAGGGGCATGGTAGTGACCTTACCAGCATACGAATGTTGTGGACGGGAGCGATCATGAGCGGCCACCAGGAGTCCGTTGACGAGCAGGGATACAGCTTTCGATAAGCGGATGATTGCCAGAGTTTAAGATGGGCATAGGCTGGGCTGGATAGGTAAACAAACGGCTGAAAGCCTGTCGCAGCTTACAGAGATGCATCTTAGCACACGCGCACACGAAAAGCATGCATGATACCCATTCCCTGTACGCCTATTTGATTGTTGCAAGTGTCACAGTGTCTCGAAATTTTCCCTCTTCCCGTAATCACCGATATCAGCCATCCTCCTAGTCTAAACCCTGCGTGGATCTTTGTAGCGTGTTTCGCCGTGAATACTCCTGCTCATCAATATCGCATCTCATAAAGTCATGCTTATGCCTTGGACGCAGGCTTGGCGATCGAAGGGAAAGGGTTGTAGGTGCCGCGCTCCTCGCCAAGCTTCTTAAGCTTCTCGATAGCCTCGTCCAATGGCACAGGCTTGCCACGGTCTTGGCTGGAGGTATCGTCACGGTATCGGACGTTGACCTGTCGACCCTTCATCTCCTCGTCGCCGACGACGAAAATGAAGTTGTATTGGCTAACAAGTTTAGTAAGCAACCTCGAGGAGACACCGATAAAATCTAGATGACACACCTTAATTGAGCACTGCGAATCTTCTTGGGCAGCGTGTTTCCAGTCAAGTCGACGTCACTAGTCGGTTCTGTCAATCTTCTTCCGTCTAGGAACGTCCGAATACCGGAGACCAAACGTACCACCACATGCCCTGTTTCTTGAAGATGGACTGAACTTCCTCAGCATATTCGACGAAGCCCTTGCCGACTGGAATAACCATGATTTGTCTAGGGCTGAGCCAGAAAGGCCACTTTCCGGCAAAGTGCTCGATAAGGATACCTAACGCAAGACGCTGAGTTACTGTTCTCCCGGGAGCATACACATGCGGACTTACCCGTGAATCTCTCAATAGAACCAGCCATGGCCCGATGAATGATGACAGGTCGCTGACATCCGGTGGTCAAGGGCTTGATGACCCGCTTCTTTTTCTCATCTTCGCCCGTACCAGCTGCGGAGTCGACGACGGCCTGGGGGTCCTTCATCTTGACCTCAGGGGCCTTGGGAGCGGCGGCAGCTTCTTCATCCTTGGGCTTGATGGGAACATCCGCCGAAACATATTCCAATCCGAAATCTACTGCAGGTCAGCTTCTTTCACCCATCTCACACTTGAACAGACACTGCATACTCTGTGGGAGCTGAAAGTCAAGTTGAATCGTGGCGCATTGCCATTCCTGGTGCTATCAGTACTTGTTCCTACAGCCAGGTATGAGCTATACTTACTCTGTTCAGAACATCTAAGATCTTGATATCGATCTTGGGACCGTAAAAGGCTCCGTCACCCTCGTTCAGAGTCCAGGGCACACCTTTCGGCAGAGTTAGCATTCATTTCAAAAGATGGAATCCTTGGATTCCTACCGCCCGTCGAAGCCGCGAACTCGTCCAGAGCCTGCTTGAGCATGCCTTCCGCTCTGTTCCAGGTCTCAAGCTCCCCCATGTACTTCTCTGGGCGAGTAGACAATCGGAGCTTGAATGAAAACCCCAACAAGCCATACATCTCACTAAGGAAGTCAAATAGGCCGCTAATCTCCTGCTTGATCTGGTCCTCTCTGCAGAAGATGTGTGCGTCATCCTGCTGAAATCTGCGAACACGGGTAAGACCGGACAGAGCACCGCTTGCTTCGTTACGATGAAGTACTGTACAGGCAACGGTCAGCATGCGATACGTTTGAAGACAAGGCTGATAGTAAACTCACCTCCAAAGTCGGCGACTCGCCACGGCAATTGGTGGTAGGCCTTGGGGGTGTGGGCAAACATGAGACAATGGCCTGGGCAGTTCATAGGCTTGAGACCGAACTTCTCCTTATCGACCTCCAGAACAAACATGTCATCCTTGTAATGATCCCAGTGACCGCTTATCTTCCACAGGTCTGCGTTATACATGTTAGGGGAGATAACCTCATGGTAGTCGCGCTTAAAGTATTGCTCCTTGATGTAGGCCAGCAGGGTGTTGTAGATACGGGCTCCATGCGGAAGCCACATGGCACTGCCCGGGGAGAGCTCGTGGAAGAAGAAAAGTTGCTGGTCTTGCCCAATCTTGCGGTGATCACGGGCGGCGGCCTCCTCAAGCCATTTCTTGTGAGCAGCCAGCTCCTTCTTGCTGGGGAAGCTGACACCGTAGACTCTCTGGAGAGAGTCATTCTCTTGTGAGCCGAGAAAATAAGAGGCACTATTCTTCATGATGCTAAATGCCTCGATGCGTTCGGTGCTGGGTACGTGGGGTCCACGGCAAAGGTCGATCAAAGGTCCATTCCGGTAAACTGTAGTCTTCGTACCGTCAGGGATTTTGTCGTTGATGATGTGCTGCTTGTACTTGTTGTAGCTGAACATCTCAAGAAGCTGCTCCTTCGTCATCTCCAGGCGCTCGAATTTCTGCTTCTCCTTGACGATCGATCCGACGATGGACTCAAGGGGCTTCCAGTCGCTTGCTTGGACAGCAGCGCCGTCGGGAAGCGCCATCTCGTAGTAGAAGCCGTTATCTACCGGGGGGCCGATGCAGAGAGAACATCCAAATCTCCTCTCGCAGGCCTCACCGAGGATGTGCGCCGAGCTGTGCCAAAATACTTGCTTGCCCTGCTCGTCCTCAAAAGACAACAACTCGAGCTTGCAGCTCTTCTCCAAGGGTCTGTCCAAGTCCCACAGTTGGTTCTCATCGCCATCGAGTCTCGCAACGACTGTTCTCTTGTACAGACTGTTGGAGATGCTTTTGGCTATCTCGCCGGGGGTAGTCTCGTAGCTCGTTCCCTGGCGGACAGAACCGTCGGGCATTGTAATGGTGATGGGCTCACGAGGCCTCTTGGCGAGCTCTTCGTCATATTCCTTCTTCAACTTATCAAAAAGATCGAGTCGCTGCTGCAAGAACTTGGGAGGGGGGTTGAGCTCAAGGGGCCCCGCCGACACATCGCCAGCGTTCTTCGCCTTTTTCTCCTTCTTAGGGGCTTTATCTTTGTTGGCGCTGCCGAGAGCGACTTTCTTGACGCCCTCAGCAACAGCATCGACGGCCTGCTTCGCGGAATCCATGGTTTCGTCCAATTGAAGAGATTTTGTGGTGCGGATAGGTGAGATTGGCCGGACACGAAGCCACGATTTTGGGCAACAATTTTGGGCGAAACAGCCAGTCACCCCGCCAAAGCTCTATGGTGAGTCAAACAAGGGTTGGGGTGACTGTTGGAGGCGCTGTGTCCTGGACCACACTTGCGCACTTACTTGCCTGTACTGTGAACCGCCATTACCAGCCCACATTTGCCCCACTAGTATGGTGCAGACCTGGGATTTTTGGCGGGGTGTGTCGGCTGAGGATATTCCGCTCCGCCAGATGTAGCCAATGAGAAAGCTCGATTGGGCATGCACCACTATTGGGTCGCTGGAAATTTTCTGTCGGCGCGCCAAAGGCATCGTTTTTTCCCCAAGCAGCAGCAAAGAGCAGCAGTACGAGCAGCTCCCACGTTACAGCCAATCCACCATCATTATGTCGTTTGGACGAGGAGCTCCGCGTGGTCGCGGCGGTGGTGGTTTTGGTGGCCGTGGAGGAGGTGGTAAGTTTTTATTCTCTTCAATTCATATTGTTCTTCAAGTTACCACTGTATCCCCTGCAAAGTCAAGACTTGGTGAAGCGCTCTCGCATCAACAGCTAACATGATGATGAATAGGCCGAGGTGGATTCGGACAAAGAGACATGGGCCCGCCCGCGACGATTCTCGGTATGTGACTGTCGGGCAACGACTCGAAACCTCCCCAAGAAGCAAACGCCCGACTGACCGTTTTTGTGCACAGAGATGGGCAAGTTCATGCACGCGTGTGAAGGCGAGATGGTCTGCGAGAGCATCAACCCCAAGGTTCCTCACTTCAACGCCCAGATTTTCCTTGAGAACAAGGTAGGATCGACGCGCCAAATACCTCCATCGATCTGAGCCGCAAGAATAACAGAAATACAGACTGCCGTCGGCAAGGTGGATGAGGTTCTCGGTCCCATCAACCAGGTCTACTTTACCATCAAGCCCTCTGAGGGTATCCAGGCTACCTCTTTCAAGGAGGGTGACATGTTCTACATCGGTTCCGAGAAGCTTCTTCCGTTGGACAAGTTCCTTCCTAAGCCCAAGCCCCCCCCTGGTGCTCCCAAGTTGAAGCGTGCAGGCCGTGGTGGTGCTGGCGGCAGGGGTGGTCGCGGCGGTCCTGGCTTCGGCGGGCGTGGCGGTGGTAGAGGACGTGGAGGCCCCGCAAGAGGTGGACGCGGCGGCAGCGGCTTCGGCGGACGCGGAGGCGGTGGTTTCGGCGGCCGGGGCGGCACGCCGAGAGGCGGAGGTGGCTTCAGCGGTGGTCGTGGCCGCGGAGGCTTTAGCAGAGGACGGTAGCCTTGTGTCCAAGTGCGAAGCTTTGAGAGGGGGAGGTTTTCTTCTGTTGGACTACGACTCTGGCGTTCTGGTTGCTTTGCTTTGGCATCAGTCCTGGCGAAAGGGGCTCAAGGCTGCATGTACATCATCCACTATGGTTACCCGAAAAAAGAACTGAGGTCTTCATTGCGAGTTCCGAGAATGATTTGGAGCCATGCCGTTTGTCCGCGTACATGTTGGAATACATTCCATTAAGTTTTATGAAAGACCGCGCGTCTGTCTGTCTGCCTTTGCTTTGAGGCTGGAAGGACGCGAGGTGAGCTGACGTGGGAACGAGGCGCAAGCGCGAGACCGACCAGGGCCTCTCGACAGAAGCCTGTTTCCATTTTCATTACAGCACCAACAACATCGCAACCCGTGGGACCGTCTGCCTACCCACACCAGACATCAGTTACACAGCCTACAGTGCCTTACGCCGAGTCAACAAACTGCATTTTGATCGTAGCTTGAGCTTTTTGGTCTCTTTTCAGTAAGTTCTTTTCCATACCTGATCCTACAAGAGATTGAAACGCTGCAGGCCAAGCCGACCATTTCGCTAGTAGCATACCTGGGACTTTCTTCGCAGCACCGAAAGCTCCAAGACGGCGGATATTGGGGGGGGGGGAAATAGCAAAGATCAGGGTTGGGTAAAGGCGAAGGATCTTGCTGGTGGCGCGGATTACTGCTGTGGAGAATGGGTTGCAAAACTCCGTCATCCTGCTCGCGTCAGCCGTGTGGTTCTGATCCCGAGGCCTCAAAGTACTCGAGCTAACCACGGAGCTAATGCCGACAGGGTTTGTCGGCGTCGCCCCTGAGCCCTTAGTTGGGGCTGTTCATCTGAAGCTATGTATCCCGAAACCTGACGGAAGCTTCGCAAAATTCAGCAAAACTAGCAAGCAGACATCAGATGACAGAGGGGGGGTTGGTAGCAGCATAGCGCTAACAACCTGGGCACTTTTCCACACATGGAGTTCTGGCATTCACTTGCATGGGGAACGGTGACGTCCTGAGCCACGAGCCACAGCATATCGCTAAAGGAAGGGAACTGTTTGCTTAGCTAGATTACACGCGGCAAGTCGATAAAATGGGAGCCTGGAAGGTCTCCATGGCCTTCGCCCTGTCACTTTCGCTCATCCTTCCAACCTAGTTTGGGTAGCGAACCCAGTCGTACGTTGAACGTGTTGGAGTCGCTTTGGCGTGAAAGCATAATGCTCCCGTCTTCTTGACTAGCACCAACCTGCATCCAAAGACTACTCCTTACTAGCAACGGGAAGCTTCCCTATGAATGTGCACCACAAAGACGAATATGGCAACCTCGCCCACATCATCAGATTTCATCCAGACCCCGACAACAGTATGGGAGACACGAAGCGCTATCGAAGCAATGCAAAGGTTAGCCGATGTTATGATAGCTGTAACAGAGTCCTTCAGACAGCAGTTCCGAGGCGAACAACACCCCAGCAATAACGTCACCCGCCACGAAGAGGCTGGAGATCCGGATTTGCGAGCATCGGTTCCAGACATTGTCTTCCCTGTGGTTGACAATGACCTGAGCGGAACACAATCGCATACATCTAGGCCGAGCACGGCTCCCTCATCATGTACTCGCCCACGCGACGGACCAACATCACCAACATCACCAACATCACCAACATCACCAACATCACCAACATCACCAACATCACCAACATCACCAGGATTACCAGGATCACCTACTTCGCAAAGTCTGCGAGCAAATGCGAGAGAAAATTTGCGAGCCCCCCCCCCCCCTCTACAGGGACATCACGGCGCATGGTTTGGGATTGTACAGGGGGCTAGCTCCCGAGGCCTTGGCACACCCATCAGAATACCCTGATCTGTTCGAAGCAGCACGGAAGATTGTCATTACTCAACGCAGCAGGCACGCGATCGACATGACGCCTGCAGCCAACCGCCAGAACGATCGCCTCTTGACCGTAATGCAGACAAACGCTGTGGAAGATGACCTTCCATGGGCAAGTAGAGGCTATTTGTACCAAGAACAAAACCTGTTGGAGAAGCGACCCGTGTCTGCCCTGGGTTTTGCCCAGGAGTTTTCGCTACTAGGTGTCACTGGCCTTCATCAGATTCTCATGTTCGCTGGCCTCTCCCAGGGCATCGCTCCTGCTCTTGAAATCGCTAACTCACTTACGAACTTGTCGGAGGGCCAGCATTCCTGGTTTACTGCAGGCTTCGTCCTTGCCCTGGGCGTATTCGCCATGCCTTCGGTCCGACCAGGAAAAGTCTTTGGTCACAAGCGAATTCTTATATGTGGATGCTTATGGTACGCCTTCTGGAGCCTTCTCGCCGGATTCTCTCAGACTGTACACAATGGCGGTTATAATAGTGCCGCGTTTTTCTGCGTCTGCCGTGCTATGCAGGGTATCGGTCCAGCGCAGAGCGTTCCAAACGGTTTTTCTATCCTGGAGGCTTCTTTCCCGCCTGGCCAAAGGAAGGACACAGCACTCTCGCTCTACATTTCCGGCGCGCCCCTCGGCTTCGTTATCGGATCTGTCTTCTGTTTTCGCCGTCAACTTCGCTTGGGAATGGTGGATTTTTGTGCTCGCGGCCGTCTGCTTTTCAGCTGCGGGGCTCAGCGTTCTCATTCTTCCACAACAAGATCCTCGCAAAAGGTGTTGTGTCAGTAACATTTGGGTGACACTCGACTTCGCGGGTATCATCCTGAGTGCTCTTGGACTGGTCCTTTTCAGTTTCGCATGGAATTAGGCACCAGCGGTCGGTTGGCCCACACCCTACATTTACTTTCTTCTCATCATCGGGATTTTATTCCTTGCGGCTTTCATGTACAATGAGACTGTCGTCGCGAGCCCTCTCGTGCCTCTGCGGGTGATGGATTCGTCGACAAATCTTGTGCTGGCCTGTGTCGCAGCCGGCTGGGGCTGCTTCATTGTTTGGGCATGTTATCTTTTCCAGATCATGGAAGCAGTACGAGATTGGGACTGCCTTGTGGCAAGCGCTGCAGTTGTACCGATGGCGGTGGAGAGTTTGACCGTGACTTTTCTTCTGGCGTATCTGACACCAGGCGTAGAGGTGTACTGGGCCTTGTGTCCTTAATCGGGTTCCTGTCGGCGTCTGTACTCGTGGCAACGGCACCCGTGAATCAGACGTACTGGGCAAACGTATTCGTGAGCACACTGCTTCTTCCACTTGGGATCGTCATGGCGGGTCCTCTCGCAATGATACTGCTGAGCAATAGTCTCCCGGAGGACTATCGGGGGATTGTAGGGGGCCTAGTGTTATCTGTACTTGCTTACAGTATGTCTATTGCTTTGGGAATGGCAAGAACGGTCGAAACCCAAGTCAACGAGATCAGGTTAGATGTATTGTCTGGATACCGCGGGGCACAGTACTATGGTATTGGCCTCGGGGCCCTTGGGACGCTACTCGCGTCTGCTTTGTTATTCCAATACTCGTCAAGTAGAAGCATTTGGTCTGCCGCGGGTACAGGATTCGGGGGTTCGGATGTTCCAAAATAGCAAAGGCTAGATAAGAGAGGCAGACTAGCTGACGGCTTATTTGCTAGTGAGGCGAGCTATGAATGGAATTTGAACAACGAATGCATCACCGCCCGTGATATTGTTCTGTAGCAATTTGCATCCCGCAAGCATATTCTGACATGTCTTTGACAGGGAAAGGAGAAGATACAATAATGATGGAAAAAACAGAGGAACCAATTGGGGATCAGGAATGTCTGAAGAACGAACGTCTCTTAGTAGGTCCATACCCAACTCGTTGCCGACACTCTCCTCCTTCGTTGACGCACCCCTTCTAATGAACGCAACTAGCGTCTGGCATCGACTGCAGTCGCCCCACCCTTGGGGTATTCTCCTGGAATATGTAAATTGGAAATCGTCGGGACGCTATCGTTCCTTGTAGTGCCAGCCGTTGGCCTAGGACCGGATAGCGTTTGGCGGAGAAGATCCTGATTTCTGGGATTGGGTGTTCCACTCGAGGTGCCGCTTTGCTGCATGTGTATGTTGTTCGAGCCGCGCGAGGCACTCGTGCCTGCTGCCATCGCAGCCACGTTGATATCATCGTTGCCTGGTTTAGCTGAGACGGAATAATCGACCGCATCTTGCTGTTGGTTGTCGGTGCCGGAATTAACCTGACTCGACTTTGCGTTTCCATTCATCCATTGGCCGTACTGGCTGTTGCCACCTGGTGTTTCGAGTCCGCGGTTATGATCTATCGATGACGTTCGCTGAGCATCTTCCTCGGATCTAGTCGGTGCAGCTTGCTGACTGTGTGCCCTCTGCATGCCTGTAGCATATAGGTAGGCTGCCTGGAAATCCTTGTGCACAGACTGAGAGCGGCCCAGAGGCTCATTGGTGTACGGATTAACCCCATCTTCTTTTGCTTGTTGACTGACCAAAGCCGCATTGGATGGCGTCTCTTCCATGGGAGTCCGTGCCGTGCCCCCATATCCGTTTGGATGGACGGTGCCCAACATTCCCCCAGGTAAAGCTGACGGCTGCGCAGCCGCGTCTCTGTCCCAGTTATCAAATCCCGAGCTCACACTAGATGGCGAAAGAGGTGCCTGTAAGCCTCGCTGCGCGTTGACCTGGATGTCGGATGGAAACCGCCCACCTGCTTCGGGACGGCGCAAGTCCTGCCTCGAACTCGTGCTGGCTGCGACGGCTGTATCGGCTGAAAACGGTTCGTCATCATCGTCGTCGAGAACACCGTCACTACTGGTTGACCGATGGGAAGACTGGCTTAAGCTCCGCACATGTCCTCGCACGAACTCGCTTCGTTCTTGTGGCGTACGCTCGGTGAGTACCTTGATGTCCTCGTACCATGCCATCATTGTATCGTGGCTTTCGGCCCGGAAAACCCATGTGTGGCCGCGATGCATCGAACCCGTCTGGCGACCCTTGAGTATAAACTTGTTGGAGGATCCTCCCTCACTTGAATGGGATCCTAGTTTCTGTTCTGGAAGATACAACGACATGACGGGGGCCTGGCCCTTGTCCGCCGATTTGAATTCATGTAGGTGAGTCGGAGAAAGTACATACCTGGTAGTGTCAATGTCATTTTCAGATACTTTAGAAACAGAACTTTGCGACTTACCAACCGGCCGTATAGCTCTTAAGATACTTGCTCTTACGCTCAAGAAGTCCCGCACGTATCTCCTGGCAAGCGACATGGTCTCGGCCAGGATAATGGATGTGCTCGGCGGACCGTATCGGGATGTTTGGATCCACAAATTGATCGTCCTTTTGAACGAAGTGTGTCCATTCGTGATCCTTGGGCATAGTTATGGGCCCAATACGTAGCTCGTCAATCGCGCTGTAAGCTGCGTCGGACTCGCGCTTGAGGATGCCTGCGTACGCATTATACGCTTTCTGGATTTCGCCGACGACAATAGACTCCAGCTCGCGACCCGAACTTTCGAGGTTGAGATACGCCTGGTGAAGGTAGTTTTCCTCGTCTATTTGTCGCTCGACTTGTCTGTCCACAGCAAGCCGTAGAAGGTAAGGATCTTGCTTCCCAGTCGTCAACGAAGGATCAAGATCACTCTGACCTATTGTGTCCTGCAATGTCTTCACAGCCCGTCTTGTCCCATCCATCTCTTTTTCAACAGAATTCTTGAAATCGCCTGAAAGATTCTTGATCTCTTTGATTTTTTGGTGCAGATCGCTCCTGAGACCCGTGAGTGCCAAGATGACATCCTCCTCAATTTCCTTGGCTTTGTTCGACTCTAGGATGGCACCCTTATGATAAGCGCGGAGAATTTGCAAGGCATCGTCGATACCCCCCGAGTCGAGAAAGCCAGGCGGGGTTGAAATGTTGTTGGCAACATTGGCCAACTTCAGGAGCGACTTAGACTTGTGCTCGTAGTGAGTCTGGATCTCGCGGTAATATGCGATGAGATCCTTGAGTATCTTGCGCCAAGCTATAGATGAGGTCAAAAACTTTCGCGCCCGTCAAGCTGGAGAAGTACGTCTGCGACCTACATTGAAATCTGTTAGACAGAGCCTCCGTTGGATTTCCAGACGTCGGGACAGGGCAGTGAAAAGCGCTGTGCGCTTCGTCGGGGTCTGAAGTCGACTGCAAGGCTAGGCTGCGGACACTCCCAGCCTTCATGCTTCGACGACTACCACTGCGCTTGAGGCTGCCATTTCTTCGCAAAGAATTCTTCTTCTTGAGAGTATTGTGTCGTGAGGGCAGGCTGAGGTGATCCTCCCCTGCGTTGGAGACGAATGAGTTTGATCGCGGCATGTTGGAAGACGGCCCGTCTATGATACTACTTCCTCTCTGACTGGCATCCCATTCTTCAGTGAATTTGCCCCGAGAATTTGCTGATGGCACGGCTAGGCTATCGTTGTTTGTATAGTCATAAGAAGTATGGTCGACGTCTTGCGGGAAGTGATGTGATTGATGACCAGGATGCGAGTTGGCAAGCGTGTTGAGCTGTGTCTCTTGATCTTCGTTGTGCTGTAAAGGGCCACCAGAGGAGGAAGGAACAGAAGAGACGGTGGCGGGGGATGGTTGTTGAGGAAAGTAGGAGGAAGTGCGATTTGACTTCATGGTGGATGCGGCGTCGAGACCTCAGTCTCGCAGGTCCTCTGCCCTGTAGCGACCGGCTTCGGCGAGTGAGGGGTGTGGTTGGATGTTGAGACGGCGGGCGACGCGAGCGGGGATCTAGCTACTATGGTTATGGACCTTTGTGAAGGCGTGGAACCGGGCGTCTCAACTGGCACACCAAGGTACCAGAGCAACTCTTGGGAGAGACTGCTGCTGGCCCTGAGTTTAGCGCAGCTCTCTGATAACAGGAAGATTGTCTAGCCAGCTTAGCGCAGGAAGAATGGCGCCAGGTGTGCAATCGACGTCTGGCTAGTGAACACTGTCGCGGCGCGTTTGACGCAATGGTAGCCGGAAGAGCTACAGAAACTCAGACTGATGTCGTCATCGAGGCGCGCGAGTCGCAGCGGTGGCCCCGATTCGGCGCAGTGGAATGCTGATGTGTCTTGGTCACGGGCGAGCTAGGCTGCTAGAGAGTTGGGCGCCGTACGGGCAGGGGAGGTATTGATACCGGGAAGGTCTGCGGCGAGAGCGAAGATGACCGGGACTAGAAGATGGAATTATGGCGAGGGGCTTTATCGGTCGGTCGGTCGGTATCGTGAGGTGGTTCGTTGCGTGCTCGTATCGTGCGAGAAAATATGAGGCCGAGCGACGAGGACAAGAGAGAAGTTGGGCCAGAAAGGTGGCTTGAAGTAATTAAGGTATGTGCCCGTAGAGGTTTGTCCATCTTGCACACAAGAACCCTGGGCTTTAATCAGCACCTGCTTCCGCAGCTCGGTACCCTGCCAGTGTCTGTCATTGCTAGTCGCTGCGGCACCATTCGGGGCGAGCAGGGCAGGGGGGGTGTCAAGATCTGAGGATAATTTACACAGCAACATCCATGCCACGCCACGAACCTCGAGCGACCAAACGCCAATCGCCCTGCAGCATGCAGCAACTGGATCAAGGCACTCTATTCCCACAGCGCACCTCTTTTCTTCGGCCTGACCCGAAAAGGCACTATTTGGGACGATGAGTGGCCGCCCATCCCATCATCCACCCGGCGCGTACGGATACCTGTTGTTGCCCTGTTCTCGGGAAGCGCACGCAACGAGACGGGACGACACTGGACCCTGGATTTTGCTGATTGCGATCGCCCTTCATGCCTCATTTTACTGCATAGTCAACACCTACAGTACGAATACTGCAATACTCATTCGAGACAAGCATCCTGCAATTCAATCTCGCTGTCTCGCCTCTTGCTCAAGGGTCCAAGTACATACGAGTTTGGCCGGGAAATTTGTTCCATCATCCCCCGCCATGCCATGGAGGGATCTCTGTCTGTTGGAAAGCTTCGCTTCGACCTTTCCATTGTATGCACCTCCTCCCCGCACTGTTGACTGCGACACTAGAACTCTGCCATTTTACTCGGTTGGAGAAGTTTGCGTTCACGGGCCAGCCGATAACACTCGTCTTCTAGATGGATGAGTGGTGTACATTGTGCCGCGGTTGCGCGGAAGACCTGCGATCTGTGTGGCCTGTTTGTGCGACATTCGAACTGATCGCAAACAAGAAGCCAAGAAGCTTCTCGTTGCAGTTCGGCCACACGATGACGTATGTGCCCCTCCCCCTCGAAGCCCCCTCCCTCCCCACGACGTAATCACAACCACAGCAGCGGATACTCGCTGCAACCTCATCGACACTCTCTGTCTCCTCGAGCGCTTGTATCTGTGTCTAGTCCTGTCAAACAGCGTGTATGCTCGTCACGAACCATAATAAGTAGATCTTGTCGAAGCCGTGCTTGAACTTTTGCATCATATCAGTCTAAGCCGAACTAACTAAAGCGTAGCAGACCTCTGTTATCCGTTCTGACCGATTAGGCCAAGGGAACACTCGGAGAATACCAGAGGTTGGAATCGTCCAGGGTGCCGGGTACCCATCATCACCTCTGCGACGTCACCATCCAACTGGT